TCTTCCTCAACGAGGATCACGACCTCATCATCCTCATCGTGAACACGATCCAGAAAGATCTGAAATCCGACAACTACCTCGTCGTTTGCGCGGCGCTTAATGCAGTGTGCAAGCTCATCAACGAGGAGACGATTCCGGCGGTTCTGCCTCAGGTGGTGGAACTTCTGGGTCATCAGAAGGAAACTGTGAGGAAGAAGGCGATCATGGCTCTGCATAGATTCTATCGAAAGTCGCCATTTTCGGTCTCGCATTTGATCTCCAACTTCAGGAAGAAGCTTTGTGATAACGATCCAGGGGTTATGGGTGCGACGCTTTGCCCACTTTTCGATCTCATAACTGCGGATGTTAGTTCATACAAGGATTTGGTCAGCAGCTTCGTCAGCATTCTCAAACAGGTTGCCGAGAAAAGGTTGCCAAAGAGTTACGATTACCATCAGATGCCTGCACCATTCATTCAGGTTCAGCTACAGCTTCATAGTATCCCCTGTGTCAGTGTTTTCTTGAAATGATCTCACTTTGGCAGCTAATAAGTAAACTTTCTCGATGGGTTTTTGTCATAATTTTGTTCAGATTAAGTTGCTGAAGATTCTGGCATTGCTGGGAAGTGGTGATAGGAATGCTAGTGAAATGATGTACACTGTGATAGGCGATTTGTTCAGAAAGTGTGATTCCTCTACCAATATTGGGAATGCTATCCTTTATGAGTGTATCTGCTGTGTTTCTTCTATACATCCAAATCCCAAGTTGTTAGAAGCAGCAGCTGATGTGATTTCCAGGTTTTTGAAGGTATGTCTTATTTGTTGTCTATTCCCCGGAAAAAGTTGAGCTCTTACTAAGTTACCTTGCATCTGAAGTGTTGTCTGATTATTTGCAGAGCGACAGTCACAATCTGAAGTACATGGGCATCGATGGTCTCGGTAAACTGATAAAAATAAGCCCAGACATTGCTGAGCAGCACCAACTTGCTGTGATAGATTGCTTAGAGGTCGGTATCCGGAAGTGACTAGAATGTCTTTTGAGTTCCACCAGTTGTCCACTTACCCAAAATGGAAATGTTTAGTTATTTTTGAACTTTACGGCCCTTCTCTCACCATCGTGCTTTGTGTGACAGGATCCAGATGACACGCTAAAGAGAAAGACCTTTGAATTACTGTACAAGATGACCAAGTCCTCTAATGTGGAAGTGATTGTTGACCGTATGATCGACTATATGATTAGTATCAACGACAATCATTACAAAACCGAGATAGCTTCTCGTTGCGTTGAGTTGGCTGAGCAATTCGCTCCGAGCAATCAATGGTTCATCCAGGTAGCAAATGGCACCTTCTCTATTTGGCAGTGTTTTCTAAGTGAGCCCTTTCTATTGCATGATTTTGACAGAACATTAAATATACTTATACTGCAGACCATGAATAAAGTCTTCGAGCACGCTGGAGATTTGGTGAATATCAAGGTGGCACATAATTTGATGCGTTTGATCGCTGAAGGATTTGGAGAGGATGATGATGATGCAGACAGCAAGCTTAGATTATCAGCTGTATGTAATGATATTGCTATCTGTTTTTGGATGATAAATTCATTACCTTTGAGTACGGACTGTCTGTAACTATATCCATGTGATTTGGATTTATCGATTGTGTTTTTTTTTTTCCAATGCAGGTGGAATCGTACTTGGGGATCATTAGCGAGCCAAAGCTTCCATCCCTTTTCCTTCAGGTGCTGACGACTTCTATCGTGTATTAGTTCTTATGTGTACACAGAATCTGTCATCTGTTGTGTTGTGTCTTAGTTTTGGATCACATCTTCAGGTCATTTGTTGGGTCTTGGGAGAATATGGGACAGCTGACGGGAAGTATTCAGCATCTTATATTACTGGAAAGCTATGTGATGTGGCAGAGTCATATTCAAGTGATGAAACTGTGAAGGTACACATCTTTTAAATAAAACCATGAAAGATTTGCAAGTGTATCATGTCTTCTGTCCAATTTGTTTGTACTTGTAAGCTTCGGAGTTTGCCCGTGTTAGCGGGACCTGAATTCTTCAATGTAAACTTGACTTATCCTATTGCATGCCCACTTGTCTATGTATATACAAGAATGTTACACGTAGAAAAAACGGCATGTACGTATTTTTCAAATATATCTTGATCACAATTCAGTTGCTACCTGCATATCTATCACCTGAAAGTTAAACGGTTATCTGTTCTCTTTCAAAGGGTTATGCTGTTTCTGCACTTGTGAAGATTTATGCATTTGAAATGGCATCCGGGAGAAAGGTGGATGTTCTTCCCGAGGTTAGTACCTTCAAATTGGTTCCTGAAATCGAGAAATCTGCTCTAGAATTTCCCTGTTAGTGACTGGTTTTCTTGGTTGCAGTGTCAATCTTTGATTGAAGAGCTTCTGGCTTCACATTCCACAGATCTGCAGCAACGTGCATACGAGCTGCAGGCTGTGCTTACACTAGATGCCCGTGCTGTCGAGTGCGTTATGCCATTAGATGCTAGTTGTGAAGACATCGAGGTTATATTTTCTCACGATCTGCTCCATTTCATGTATAGATTTCTTGCTTCTAAAGATGCTAATACCGCGACTTCTATTGTCAATTAGGTCGATAAGGACCTTTCGTTTCTCAATGGCTACATCCAACAAGCTATCGAGAGCGGAGCTCAACCCTATATTTCGGATAGCGAACGCTCAGCAGTATTCAATATCGGTGATTTTCATTCCCGAGACCACCATGAAGTTCCATCTCATGCACTTCGGTTTGAAGCCTATGAACTCCCGAAACCCGCAATGCCATCAGCGCCACAACCAGTTTCTTCTCTTTCAGCGTCAACTGAGCTTGTGCCAGTACCCGAACCTTCTTATAACAGAGAGTCACACCCATCAATCTCAAAATCCTCGGTGTCGGCCCAGTCAGGATCATCGGAAATCAAGCTGCGACTAGATGGAGTTCAAAGAAAATGGGGTCAACCAACTTACTCTTCCGCCTCATCATCTAACCCGGACTCCTCTACTCAGACAGTAAATGGTTCAGTTTCAGCTTCACATTCAGACAGAGCTGATTCAACTAGTTCTAAGCCTCGCAGCAGTTATGATTCAAAGAAACCTGAGATCGATCCCGAGAAACAGAGACTAGCCGCCTCTTTGTTCGGTGGGTCATCGTCGAGAAGCCAAAGGTCAAGTTCCGGTGGCCAGAAAGCTACGAAAGGTAACAAAACCGCGGTCCCCAAGGAAAGTCCAGCTCCAGCTCCTGTTCAACCACCGCCTGACCTGCTCGACATGGGTGAGCCAACGGCCACTGTTACAAGCAGTGACCCGCTGGCCGATCCGTTTAAGGCGTTAGAAGGGCTTATCGAGCCGGGCCAAGACGGTACTTCAACTGCAAACACTCAAACCAAAGCGCCCGATCTCATGGGGCTATACTCGGATGGACCCGTGACCGGTCAAGTGACCAGTGTCGATACCCTCTTATCCGAACTGTCAGACCCAGTTTCGAAATCTAGCTCGGGAGGAAACTCAAGGGCTCAATTCTCAAAGGGACCGAACCTGAAAGAAGCTCTGGAGAAAGACACTCTTGTCAGACAGATGGGTGTCAATCCGACAAGTCAGAACCCGAACCTGTTCAAAGACCTCCTCGGCTAGTAGGATCTCTCGCCGCAGAAACCTTCTGTCTCGATTCAGTTACCTCGTCGTCATCGTGCCTCGGGTCAGTGACAAGGGAACACATACCGGATCGCACGGGTAATGTGACAAAGCCGACAAGACACCGGTGTGGTGGCTTAAGAGTTCTGGTAATTTAAAATCTTCCTGGGACGTTGTTCAGATAAGAAAACAGCTTTTTGTACTTGAAAACCGATAGATTTTTTTTTTTTTTTTTTTGTTCTGAGTATTGGTTTTTGTCTATTGAGCCTTTGACGTTGTTTCGATCAAATAATGTATCTTCTCTTGAGTATTTCTTTCTTCGGATTGTTCTGTTCCGTTTCATTGTAAAAATTTTCGGCTTTCGGTTCGGTTATATTTGGATTCGTTTATTTCGGTAATACAAAAATTACAACCATTCGGTTTTTATATTAATTTCGGTTCAGATTCGGTTTTTTTATAGTTAAAAAATTATTTTTTAAAAGAAATTTTTGTTTTTTCGGTTATTTTTCATTCGGTTTGGATTCGGGTTTTAGTGGTTTGGTTATTTTTTCGTTCGATTCGGTTCCATTTTTTTGGGTTTAGAAAAATCATAACCGTAAAAGAGAAGATAACCGTAAAAGAGAAGATGCAAAGTATGAATGCAAAATGGAGCGGACACAATACTACATTTATATCTATACACTCGCCTTGCGGACTTGACACTGATACATTCACAAGAATCAGAAGAGAACAAAATACAAAAGATGTAGAGATTTTTTAATCTAAATCTAAGAAGAAAAAAACCCGATTTTCGGGTTCTTCCATTCAACGGTTTGCAATCTTTATCACCCGACGATCCGTTATTTCGATCGAGACATCACTTAGCAATCGTTGATCTTCCGCAGAGTGAAGACCGAAACACCGGACCCAAACGAACTCGGGATTAAGACGATGCTGATGTTGTTGAAGAGCGAAGCAATCCATCCTTGCTGTAATTTTTTTTTTTTTTTTTTTGAGGTCTATGACTTGAGTGTTAATCTAACGGGCAATCCATTCTGAGGAAGTGCAAAAGGGCCGTACTGAATCCCGTCGTTGTCGCCCACGATGGACCATCTGCTCTCGAACCAAAAAACAAGAACAAGAACACACAAGAAACACGTTACTTGAACTTGTCCTGAAAAAGACAAGACGGTTCTTATAAAAGTTATCCAAACTTGGGTGGTTTAGTGGTGAGAGAACAAAGCATGTTCTTATCTTGAGTTCAAACCCAAGTATGGGAAATGACATTCACCTGGACTTTTCCGGTACTGTAAGAGATGTAGTCGGGTCAAAGATCCGGTGAATTTTCGGAATATAAAAAAAAAATCTTATTAAAGGTGTTGAATTGATGGAATTGTTGGAGTTTTTAAAATTTAAAAATATTAAAAAAAATAACAATCGAAATTGTATAAATTTAGTTTTTTTAAAACAAAAATTGGAAAACTATTTTTATTTTACAAAAAAAAATCAACTAAAAATCAAAAGCTTTATTTCCGGTACTGTAAGAGATGTAGTCGGGTCAAAGATCCAGTGTTTTTTTTATAATCGTAGAAAAGTTTATGTATTTTTTGGATCATTTAAAAAGTTCAGTGTTTTTTTAGTTTCGTTTAAAAAGTTTAATGTTTATTTGACAAAAAATAAAGTTCAGTGTTTTTTTTGTCAAAATTGTAAAGTTCGGTGTTTTTTTTGGGATTTTTCCTTTTTTTTATTTACAAATACTAGGAGAACCAGAAACTGTCGCCGTTCATAGACAAAAGGGTTTTGTGGGTTTGGATTCCGAACCTGTATTTGGTGGTGAGATGGTGCAAGAGGACCAATATTTCAAGCTTGGCTAGCTCGTTTCCCGGGCATGAATGAGAGCCGTTGCCAAATGGCATAAACGTGTTGGCCCTCGGTGTCGTCTGTTTTACAATTTTAATCGAATCTCAGAAAAACCGGGAAAATATTATCATGAAAAAGATATATATATATATATATATATATATATATGTATATGTATATGTATATTGCTTGCCTCGAATCTTGATGGGTCGAATTTTTCTGGATCGGGGAAATTTTTGGAGTTGTGATGAATGTTTCTGAAGAGAGGCAGAACTTTCCATCCTTTTGGTATAAGATATCCTGAAAATAAAATGTTTTAAGAAATATATCGGTTCCACACACACTATAGTTTATATACATACGGTGTCAATTTGGGTTTGGATTCGGACCGAAAACATATCAGACTTTGGTCATAAAAAATATAGGTCTGAAAAGTTTCGGACTTTCGGATAGGGTCTAAATTATCAGGCTCGGGTTTTATCGGGTTAAATCCGACGGATTTCGGACCGGTCCAAAATTTGTATTTATTTTTTTTTAAAAAAAAATTGAAAAACGAATATAAATCTAATACATTTTTATATATATTAAACGGGCTGGTCCACCCCGAATTTTATAGGATCGGATTTCAGACTTGGTTTATTAGGTTTGAAAAAATATGGGTCGACCCCAATTTGAGCTCGAAATCTTCGGACCAAAATCTACTATAGATTCAATTATATAACAGATTTATCTTAGATCAAAACCAAGGAAAAACCAAGTTTGAACAATTTTCAAACTTGCTCAAGAGTGATCGTTCTTTATCGAAACGAAGAACCGAGCTCTGATACCACTGCTGGGTCACACGGGATCCTAGACCTCCGATTCAAAACCGTGCTAGGATCTGGTCCGCGGGTTTACGCAGCGGAATTAGCGTTCAAAATTTCTTTTGAACACCCCAAACCAATCTTTCGATGAAGAACTTCTCATGGGAGAAAAACTAACCTTTTGATTCCGAATCTGAAAGGTTTGCTTGATCACAGCCTAGGTGTTGAAAGAAGATC